ATCCTCTCAGCCCCGCTGCCCCTTTCTTTCTTTCTACCCCCGTCCCATCGCAGCCTTTCCCCCGGGCGCTGCCCCCCAGCATCCCTCTCCCCCGTTTCCCTGCTGCCATTTAGGATAACGGCCCTTCCTGTAAGATGCTGTGGTCCAGGCGTGCTTAGCTGTGAGCATCCCCCCAGGGCACCCCCTATCACCAACCCCTGGTCTTCTATCACAGGGCCAGATCTCAGTGAGGGGGCTGGGGATGGGCCCTGTGGGGAGCGATGTGTCCCACAGCTCCATCCTGTATCGTTGGGCCCAATTTGCCCAGCCTTGAGTCGCTTTGATTCCCATCTTTCTGCTGGCGGTGCCACATCTGTGTGTTCCTGAGCTGCTCTGTTTCCCCCTGAAGCCCCAGGACGAAGCGAGGAGCTGCTCTGTGGGAACGGCTCAGCACTGCAGCCCACCTCCAATGGAGCTTCCTAAAATCACCCTTCTCTCTGGAAACCTCTCTTTCCTCCATAGCGTAGGCTGGAAGGGCTGCCCTTCCTCTGCGCTCTCTTGGATGTGGGTAATGATGATGTTCAGGTGGTTAAAATTAAGCAACCTCATGCCTTCCTCAATTAACACACCTTCAGGCTCAAAGGCACGCGTTTCTCTGCGGCTGTTTCCTGGATCCCTTTCCTTCTCTGGGTTTAGCTTTTGCAGGAATAAACAACGCTTTGGGAAAAATAGGATTATATTCCTAGCTTTCCTGATGGTGGAGTGAATCTTCCCACTGTAGTTCAGCACTGTTGTCTCTCCAGAGCCAGAGGATGTTCCCAATGCTCGCTGCTCCTTGCCCAAGAAGCAGAGCAATGACTTGAACCAGGCTTTGATCAGCAGTGCCCTTGGGAGCCCTGAAGAAGCAGTGAAGCTGGTGGGGCTTTTCTCTTTCATTTGTGGCCTCTTAAGGCTGCTGGCTGCCAGCTCGCCCTCTTCTGTGGCTGGTGGGGCAGCCTGGAGTCTTTTTTAGGCTCTGGATCAGGGCCTGCAACTTCAGGACCGTTTGGCTGTGAAATATTTCTGCAAGCTGATAGTTCTCCTTGCAAGCTGTGTCCATGCAGATGGTATCGGGTGCACGTTGTGAAGGAGCTGCTGCCAGAAATGAGGACCGTATCCTGGAGGAGCTGGAAAAGGGTGGAGAACATCTCAGCTGTGACCTCCTCCCCCCCGGTGCAGGCAGCAGGGATTCCCCCAGCTCCCATTCCTGCAACTCGGTTTGCAGTGGTGAGCAGCCGAGGGTTGGAGCAGGGCAGGCTGTGAGCCAAACTATTTGTGTTTTGCTCAACACACGAGCAGCTGTTCATCCCGATCTGCTCCCCAGAGATGCTGCTGGTGCCCTGCTCGTATGGAAGGTGGGATTGCTTTTTGTTCTTCAAGCAAACTGCTCCGGGCAGCTGATGGGTGTTTTCAGAAGTGCCTTTGAACCTTGTCAGGAATCTGCTGGGGTTGTTTCACGTTTGGTTTCTGGTGCACAGCCTTCCAAAGAGAAGCAGACGCCGTGGGGAGCGCGCCGCTACCAGCACGATTCCATCAGAAATGCTGGTGGTTGAGATGAACTTTTTCATGGATAAATCAAACAAACAACCATTTTATGCAATCCACCATCTCTGCTGACTGAAGAAATTCCCCCGGGTCCATTAACAGAGTCTGGCAGCAGCACAGCCCTGCCTTGTGTTTAAACAAGCTTGCTAGCAGCTGGTGCGAGTAGAGGCAGCGATGGTCTGGAGAGGATCAGAGCAGTGATGTTAGTGCAGAGCACAGGAACTGCTTTTGGAACACCCATTCGGAGCGTTTCTATGTGAATTGTGAGTTGGCTCTGTGCTGTCCCAGTGCTCCCGAGCCAATGCTTGAGCTCAGAGCATCGCATGGGTGCGGCTGTGGCTGCTGAAACACGGCTGGACGTGGGTGGTATCACTGAGAGCCAAACCTGGAGCCAGAAAGCCGTGCTTGGGGGAGAGGAGCCGGGATGCAGATAGGATGGAGCGGAGTCACGAGGGTTCACCTTTTGGGTTTGTGATGGTTTTTTTGTGAGCTCCAAGCCTGCAATGTGGAACTCGGTGAGCGTGGAGACGGCTCCAGGGGAAGCTTTGCTGTGTCTGCTGTTGTCATGGTGCTGGGAGAGGTGGTGCAGCTCCGGTGGGCAGGGGGAAGGTCGGGTGGTGCTGGGTGGGAGCAGCCATCTCGGAAGCACCAAGATGAAGGCAGTGCTGTTGTGTGATGCTCAGGAAACCATAGAAACGGTTGTAAGGCGCTGACTGTGTGATGTGCTGGGGAGGAGAGGGCACTGTGTGATGAGCAGGCAGCTGCCTGCGGCGCGGCGGTGCTGCTTTGGGGCTGCTGGTCCCACTGTGCTCTGTGGATGTGGCGGGGATGGCCTTAAAGAAATCCCATCCTGCTGAGAAGGGCAGATCTCTGCTGGCACTGTGGGTCTGCCCTGGGGGCTCTGGTTGCTGCTGCAGCTCCTGCTGCTCTCCCAGGACCCGCCTGGTGCCAGGCAGCACAACGTGAAGCTCGTTAGTATTCAAGGGAAAGAGCAGCATTGGGATTTGCAGCACGCTTCTCCCTTCTCCTCGGCGTTGTTTTTGGTGTTGCCATGTTAACTCTAGCCAGAGCAGCATCTGCCACGTATCAAATGCTGAAGTGCTATAAATCAGTGCTGGCGCAGGGGAAGCAGTCTGTGTTTGGCCTTTCCTGCACTCGCTGTCTGCCCTGGCTCTAATTGACCTCTGGAGAGCACAGCATATGGCAGTAATGGTGATGAGCACCGGTGCTAACGATGGAGCCTGCTGGCTCTGAGCTTCCACAGCCTGGGACCTTCTGTTAAAGCCCAACTCTGGGCTCCTTGTGGTGATGGGGATGTGCTGTGCCCCCTGCACCCACACTGTGGCTCCAACACGCTTCATAGAGGTGGATTCACCCATGCCCAGCATTGCATGGAGGTTCTGTTAATTCCCATGCTGATTAACCGTGCCCTAGTTCATGCAGAGTAGTGCTTTTTTCCCCCCTAACTGCTGCCCAGCTGTCCTGTGTTGCAAAGTTTTGCTGCTTTGCTCTGTGCTGAAGTGATTTTTTTGCTGCGTGTCTGTTACCTGCTGCCCTGGGGTATTGTGAACTTGCACCATTCAGAACGCTCTGAGATGCAGAGCTGGGTGGCATCGAGAGGAGCAAAGTAATTTTGTTGTAAAGAATCCTGGAGAGCAGATTCTCACACTGCGTCGTTTGGATCTCGTTAGTAAACAAATAGCATTTTCCCATCAATTTACTGATGGTAATTGCTACTTTGGGACCACAGTCAGGTTCTGAAACAAAATCACATTGCAGCAGCTGTCCCTGAGTGTGTGTGGTATTGAGAAAGGAATTCTTTGGTGGCACAGGGGCATCATAGACAGATAAACCCAGCACTGTGCTGGCCACAGCTGAAGATGCCCATTGGTTTCTCTGAAACGTGTCGTGGTTTTAAGTCCTCTGAGCTCTGCTGGGAGCCTCTATGTATAAATGTGTGAGCTATGTGAGGCTGTCCAGCTTCTGCTCTTTGCACTGCCTTGCACAGATGTCCTGTGCACTGCTGCAGAACGCAGGTGGTGGTGGCACAGTTTGTTCCTTAGTGGTGCTTTCAGCTCAGGGCTGGGGGGATGAAAGGCTGCTGGTGTCCTCAGGCTGCTTTGGAGTTTCTTTGCTCCTCACAGCAGCCTGCAGTGAGGTGATGCTGGTGGGGATCTGGTTGCTTCCAAACAAAAAGCCAGATCTGAGCATCCTGAGGGCAGCACCAGAGGGGACCTACAGAGCTCCAGGTGTGGGCACTGTGCTCCAGCTGAGCAGTGTCTATGGGACACAGGCAGTGCTGGGCACCTCTCTGCAGGGTACCTTGCTGCAACCTTGCCTCCTGTAGCATAAATACACACAGACACACTCT